ACCAGACCAGCAACTCTTCGGGCATAAGCCAGCAGTCTGCTTGTCCTTGTGCTTTTAGCCCAGCGTGCGAAGGGCTTGTGGCTTTCTAGTCCTGCTTTCTTCGAATAACAATGTACGGTCTCAATTCCTGACCAGCCACGCAAAAAGCATAAGCAAAGTGAGTAATGCGAGGTGCGCGTTTGTCCAAAACATGTTTCCATCCAATTGTGAAATTGCACCTTTAGGGAACGACCTTAATTTGTTAAAGTAGGACCAGTCCCCGCCAGGGCTCCAGAGAACAAAACTATGTGGTGGCAATGGGTAGATAAGAAGGCAGAGCAGACCTGGAGGGAGAGGGAGACAGAATATCGCAGGAGGTATTTTGTGCGTACAAGGCTTAAAATCAACTCAGAAACCTCTGGTTAAGCCCCAGCCCGTGACCACGTAGTCCTTAGTGCTCCAGCATGGTCAGATGGGAAAAAACTGGGAAAGCAGGAGCACGGGAGAGCAGTGCCCAGGCCTACGAGTGTGTCATCAGGTTGTAGCTGAACGTGAGTGCTCAGACATCTGAAAAAAAGAGCACTGTGCTCCTCTCCCTTTTCTGAGGGAAAAAGTAAGCCAGAGCAGCAGTTCCTCAAGCATGCCGTACAGGGCAGAACTGGTTCAGTGCTGCCAGGGTAAACTTCCATGCCAGTGACAAAACCTGACTGAACAGAGATGTCAAAGTAGGCATGAACACCACTACCTATCTCAATCAGTACCAAGCCAGCTTTTGGCTCTAGGTTCCAGTCTGTGCCAAATCACATTACCAAAATAGTGTGCAAGTTCTGCCACAGGACGGAGAAGCAGAAATGCAGCTGTCCAGGTGGCCTGACCCTACCCTGACACTGCTGACTACAGTTCCACCCACAACAGCAACTAGCAAGACACAAAATACAGAGTGATCCTTCAAATGTAGCAGAGCCCCATGCTTACAAAGGAGCACGTTTTTCAAGTGTTGCTTCTTAAAGGAAGTTTATTGCAATGCTTCATTTTTTTTTTCCCAGTATTTTTAATGCTCTAATTGATCAGAAAGGAGACCTGATGTAGTGGAAGGTGTCCCTGCCCATGGCAGGGGGGTTGGAACTACATGAGCTTCAAGGTCCCTTCCAACCCAAGCCTTTCTATGATTCTATGATTAAAAAGCCTTCTCCAACGTAGTAAGCAGTGTCCTGTGAGTGAGGTGGCTCTTACAAATTGTTTAATCGGGTATTTTCCGAGCTCTTCAAAAGAGATTTGATACTGAACATTTGCCTCTTAGCTGTTTCTTCCCTGAAGATGAACAAGCTTAAGTCCTGGCTATTCCAAATTTTACTACAGCCTCAGAACGTATGGGTGCTCTACAAATCAGTATTCCGAAAGGTAAGTCATGTTGAAGAAAAGCCCTTCCCAGTAAGGCAGAATGTCCCAGTATTCACTGCCTGGAGAGAGAAGGAACTGAGGAAGAAAGGGAAAGCCATGCCGCTTTACAGACCAGACATCAGCCTAGTACCAACAGCAGCAGAAGAGCAATCAACAGCTCGCAACAGGTTTTTAGTATAAAAACAACTGGAAACTGCTGTTGTGGAAACTACGGCAGCAGCAGAAGCCAAAGCAAAGTGTTTCTGATACTCAATGGCATCTTTATAGTGGCAGAAGTTTACTTGCCAATAGGCTCTTACAGTTCTTCTACAGGAAGCTTCATTTCTTCTTTGAAGGTCTGTCAAGAGACCATCTTGCAAACTAAGCTCTCCCATCCAATGGTAAAACAAACCCAAAATGAATAATTAAGACAAGACTTATCCTCTATATTAGAGAGACTTCAGAAGCCGTAAGTGTTCCTATGATCAGATCTCCTGCTCCAAAATAATAAATTACAGCAAAATCTTAGTGTGCACTGTAAGTTTCTCAGGAACTGCTGCGCTTGTCAGCGTGCAATTACATAGAATAAAACGTAACAGCTTCTAAAGGCAGTATGCAACATTTCCCACGCCTTGCAGGTACAGACAAACACACATACTGGTGACATGGCTTGATTTACTGAGTTGTTGCAAAATACAATACTTTGCAATCAATACAGAGCAAGTCTATTCAAAAACTATTAAATACATGGTAACATCTGTGTCCTCTTGTGATAACAAAGTAAAAAACACTAAAGTTTTAACAGCTTGAGCATCAAACGCTGATCTTCACAGAAGAGTAACAAAAGCACTGGTTGGAATCACACTCCAAATATTTAACTAGATGCGGTGTATGATCTATGCAGCAACTATAATACTGGAATTCAGTATTCAAGGCTAGCTCTGGTTCACTGTATACCTGCATTTTAAAACCTTCCAATTTTATTCAATCCACTACTTAAAGTTCTTGCCACTACCCTCTGCTTACACCACGCTGCCCTGAATTGGCCTCCGTTCAATGACTGAGATTGATGGACAGCCTCTGGAGGGCCAATTCAGATCTCTCCATAGCCGCAGGGGAGATCACCAGAGGACAGAGAAAGGAAAGAACATCAGAAGCAGAGAAGTTGGAATGAGAGGCTGTGACAGAACAAGTAGTTAAAAACAGGGCAGTGCATCTGTGACTGTTACAAAATACCATTCAAGCAGCAGAATTCATACGTGGATGCTTGTTGCTAAATAGCTCAGTGAATTGTCACTGTAGGTGTTACACACACACAGAATTCAGCAATAGCACAGTAAATGATAAAATCGAGATCACTAATTTTACAGCAGTGATCAAAAGCACCTTTCCCACGCCTGCCAGTGCAAAGCTCACGTCCAAAGACGATGGGGCTGAAAATGCAGTTGTCAGTCAGCAGAGGACTTGTAAGAACACATGTGAATTCCAGCCAGAGGACGCAAAGGGCCATTTTCCAAGCAGCACTTGAATAGCTCCCCTGCCTAGCCATGCCTCCTTTAAAGTAGTAAAAAAAAAAAAAAAAAACAAACCAAAACAAAAAATACCCAAAAGAAAACAAAAGCCAAACACAAAAAAAATAAAGTAAAAAGACTTCATGGGAAATATTTTTAAAGGTGTTGTCAAACAACATTTCTTCAAGGCCAAGCCATTGTAGCAGTATACTGAAGTCAGCTTCCAACAAGACGACACTTCATATTTGCCTTTCCAATATGTTTAGGGTGCAGTTGAGCAGTGTGAGCACCAGGTCTGCATTTACAAAATGTGTGCTTTCCGCACAGGCAAGTAGATACTGTACTTCAGCATCTGCTTACACATGTAAGTTTTGTATACAAAGCTGGTGCGTATCCACCCAGCAAGTACAAAACAGGCTCCCACCTTTGAAAACCTCAGTACTTAAAATATCTAAATCATTAGACTTCTAATATCTTGCTTTGGTATTGAATCGATAGAAAATTTACAATGACATTCAAAATAAAAAAGTAATGTTTAAGTATCCAAAGAAAGCTACAAATACATTCATCAATATGTAGTACTTTACAAATTAGGAGACAATACATGGAATTGCTACAGTATGAAGAAAAAACAAGTAGTTGTAGGAAAGCCTGGAAGTCTTCCTAACATTTTTTCTCATGTAACATTTAATGTCACTGTAGCAATAATGACACAGCAGCTTCTACTATGTTACCTCCCAAGTTGTACACTTTACATTTGATTGAAGAGGGGGTGGGAAATGAAGGGCCTCAGGAGTTCAGCAGCAACACTTAAGTGCATTGAAAACATTGATAATCTGTGGCACACAGGAATTAATGGATTACACAGGATATTTTTTTTCTATTTACAGTATCATACACTTCTATAAAGTCTCTGCTGCATTTTTTCTTTTAGTACTTAGTCTGTGGTGAATCACTGTAACATTATTCATAGAAAAGGAAAATCCCATTTTCTTATGAAGACTAAGTGACTAACAGGTATTACTTATCCTTGCTTGAGCTATCTACCCCTCTGAGCCCCCCATGAATCCCAAAATCTAATTGGCACAAAAACATTTTGATAACTTAATATAGGAACTGATTGCTCTTGATTGTTTACCTCTTGACTTAATCATTACGTTCACTGCTGCAGAATTATCCACTTTGCTAGATGTCAGAATTAATACATTTAAATAAAATTTAAAAAAAAACACTGCAAAAAAAAAAAAAAAACTGCAAGAAAGAGTGACTTTGCTGTTGGGTATCTGACTGCATGATAGGAAATACCAAAGCAATGGGGTAAACATATCATAGTAATATCATGCTGCCTTCTCAGCAAAGACTACGGCAAGCCTTCACAAATAATTATGCTTATGGAAGTAGTAAGCAACTCAACTTCAGCAAAAAACTGCCTTATCACCAGGCCTAGTAGGGTATCAGAGCCTTCAAAGCAGTTTCTGATATCAGTCTGAAGATGATGGGCTTTCTGGTTCCAGTTGAGGAAAAGGCAAATTAGAGGGAAGTGGGAAGGAACACCATACACAATGTGACATGGCTGAAAAACTGACATATTTGCACTTGAAGATGCAAAACTCCCTGCAGTAAGGAAGGAAAAAACAACTAAACAACAGGACATTTGTCTCTGAGGGCAGGAGACATGGCCTTCTACTTTGCAACAGGTTTTTATATAAGTATTTAAAAAACTTAAAAGAAATAGGACATGTAACAATCAAGCAGAAGGACAACGCAGACCAAAAGAATCATGTTTGAAGGTCAGTTTCTTTACAAGAAACCAGGACTCATTTCTTCGCTGGTAAAACTCTGTCACCAGGTCTAAAGAGCCTTTACCTAAAAGCAAGCAGCTGGATACAAGTAGGGCAATTTTAAATATTTACTAACTGTTGTACAGAAAAGTTTAGTTGTGAGACTGAGAAAGAAGGGCAGAGTTGCTTTTAGTCAAAGGATGGCATACTCTTCTAGAAAACAACAAAAATACAGTAAAACAAAACAAAACTGAAAAATCTAAACAACTATGCCAACTGATTATCAGTTTACTAAATTTTGTGTTTAAGTCCTCAACTAAGATATTAAAAATGCACTTGCAACACCTGAACACAAAACAGGGTGTACCTGCTATGACAAAATTATTTTTCTTTCCAACATACTCTTCATTAGCTTTTGGTGCCACATGCTGAAGAAACTAGATTTAAATCAGTGAAGGGCAAGTGCCAGCAGGCAATGATTTGCACCACGCTCCACCTTGATCATCCTTTTCTTCAACACCTCCTTTTTTAACTTTTAAATTGAAAACCCAATCTTCCATTTGGAAATTCAGAGCCAAGGCTGATTTTCTTTGTCACCTCTGGTCACACTGTAGGATGTTTTCAGAGACCATTCTTATTTCTTGCCGATCCCATTGGTTACTTTTGATTTGGAGTGCCGATTCCTCCTTCTAGATGAATGGCTTTCACTATTGACTGAATGTTTTGGTGGACTATTGTCAGCACCTGCTGAGAAATAAATATTTTTTTTTTACATACATACATATACATTTATTTTTTTTAATATTGTCAAGCTCTTGTCTAAAAGCCAGTAAGGTTTTCTAGAGCTACAATGTTTACAGTATGGATTATTTCAGGCTTATACAAACTGGTTGATACTTGTACTCCATCTAGTGGCCTTTTTTTTTAAAAAAAAAGCAATTCTTAAAAAACTTGCGTAAAATCCTCCAAAAAAATTCAGAAGTTCCCTATAGCAGAATATAGTGGTGAAACAGCCTCCATTTTAAATGGCATAAATAATTAAAGCTCCACATTTTTATGATTGGCAGAGACTACTACCAGCAGTTAAGAACTACGGATGTGAGCTCATAGATCCTTGTAAGGGTACATTTCTTGTTTTCAGTCTTTCATATGACAGACCATGTTTGACTCTGAGAAAGCAAAGGGAGACAATGAGGACTGAAACAAGAATTCAAGAGAAAAACATGAAAGATGCTGAATTTTGTAATTAATGAAATAACAGAAAGTCAGAGAAAGATTTACTTGGCCAAACTTTTCCAGCATATATAAACAGGAAAAACATTTTGAGTGCAAGAAATTTTTCTCCAAAACATAAAAATCCACAAATTTACTAAACTGAGAATAAATTAATGTCAGCATCCAGAAAAATCATGTATGAAATATAAAGAAGCTCTCCTGTAGGTGCTTTTCAAGCACATGATAAATGAGAAATATTTTTAATGATACAAACATCTGGAGCATAAAGTCTAACAGAGACAAGTTCCAGATGTGAATCTTGATATTTGTTCAATAAGCAAGACCACACTAAAGAGTTAATGGAGGAGGCAGGTAACTTAATTGGCCTATAGTGCAGGGAAAAAGAAGTCAGAGAAGGAGACTGCCTTTGCTTAGGACAGAGAACGCTGTTTAAGACCATCAGCACTGCATTGACTAGGCACGTGTCAGTGAGAACACAAGCTCTAGGGCACGTTCTTAACTGTTTCTTACCAAGCAGGAACAAAAGCACAATGTACATTCATACGTTTCAAATCAAACATGCCATGTTCAGTGAGAAAACCTGCTCACAACAGTTATGGAATACGTAATGCCCTAAACCTACAAGAACAGCCTGAAACAAAGGCAGAAAAACTCAGTTGCTTCATTAAAAAATGAATACATTTCCAAGAGTTAGAAGAAAAAAACGTGGTAAAGCCAAATGGCTTTGCAGATGATCTATCTGTATAGCTCCTGCAGGAATGTTTAAGTCCAGTTGTCTCCAAGATAAGCTTCTCAATCCTCATTTCCCAGTGCTGAGCCTTAACACTACCACTTCAAAAATATACGAGTAAAAGCACCGGTACCTCTGCTGAATTTAGAATGAAGCCAGGAAGCATCTGGACTGTATGGGCTGTCTTCACTTTCTGATAAGGTCTGCAAAAACAAGAAGGACACATGTCATTGGGATGCTGGCTCTTGTGATCAGCACTTCTCCTGTTTGCAATTAGACTTGTAAATTCAAACTGTGGCAGAAGTCCTCATAAAACATTCAGCCAGTACTTCAGACTTTTCCCTTCCTAGTTAGAAGGTACAACATAGACGATACAATCAGAACTCACCCCTTGCCACGTGGTCTGTTGTGTAACCAAGTATTCTTAATATTCCCTTAGCGTTCCACCTGTACAATGGGAACATCAGCCAACCATTCATCCCTGAACGCTTTGCTAAAATTACAGCCTCATTCTGAGTAACTCAGAGGAGAGCATTCTTTAGAAACCACAATGTAATTTGGGATTTGTCCAAGGACCGCTGAATTTGGAGTTCTTTCTATTGACTTCACTTAGGCTCTGGACCATCCCCCCCTCATCCCCATTTAAACTAGCTCTGGTAAAGAATTCTAATATCTAGGAGCATTGCAGTTTTAACTCTGGTATAAAACAAAACCAGGCGTCCTAATTAAGTACCTTTTCACGGAGGCCGTAGTATTCTGCGTACCAAACCATACCATATAAACACAGGAAAGTTGTAAAGGCCTAAACAAGGGAGGAGAAGAAAATGAAAAAATAACCTGTAAAACTTCTTCCAAATTCCTTGCTGACTCAAGGTTTCAGAGTCCCTGGAGATTCTGCACTCAGAGACTTTTATGCTCTGCTTCTCTCTGCATCGTTTGTCAGGATGAGTAAGACTCGTGCTTCAACTTCAAAGTACATATACATCGTGTCACCATGGGGTATGCAGACCAATTCTCAATGGGAGCATGAGAATACATACAGATCACCCACACACATGCAGGATACACTGTCAGTATGATTTTTGTCCTCACCCTGTACAGTCATCATACAAAGGCAGTTGGTAGGCACTTGCAGGTATATTATCAGGAACAACCAGTCTGGGAGAAAAAGAATTCTCCTTCTTCCTGCCCCATGCTTCAGGCTGGGTTACATGTTTGGTTTTGTGGTGCTCTGATCCAGGAAGCAATTCAATACTTTTCTCCTCTGAAGTTTCAGGAATAAAATTGTCATGCTAAGTAAGAGAACAATAAATTCTGACTCCCTATCACCTGTTCAAACTGCGTTCCCAACTAGAAGGGAAGTATTTATCTGTCAGCCCGTTATGAATGCCTTATTTTTCACTGACCATTAAAAACGTCTTTGGCATCGGAGTTACAAGTCTGGCAAGTCAAACATCCATTTACTGTTATAAAATGGGCATTTCATGCTGCATTTGCAGTAATCACACTGAAGTACAGAAAGTTGCAGGTTGAGTGAGAACGATTTGCCTGATAAAGCAGGATTGTTCATGTAGTTGTAAGACTTCAGTGTGAAACAACATGCACTACTTATTAACGGTATTCATTAACTCCTGTTCCTTTCCAGTGGGCGCTTATAGGAAGCACCTCCAAAGTTAGCCTCACTCAAACTGACATTTTCTCTCATAAAGATAAAAAGCCCTATAACTAGTGTTTGTTTCGTCATTAAGCACTGGTAAAGTGGCTGTATTCTGCTATGCCAAGAAATAAGAAATAAAAGTTATTCTAGTCCCTCCAAAGTGTGTTCTAAACGGTCTCGCATTTGGTTTTTCTAGGACGTGCACAAAGCTCTTTACCAGCATTCCCCCACAATGATCCCCTGCTGCCAATGTTCCGGAGAGGAAGCTATTTAGATGCTTTCAATCCTTTTGCCATGCTTTATGTTTCACATGAGAAATCTCACTTACCACACAGAGAAGCCAAAACACAACATACAGTATTTGTGTTTTGGAAAAAAGATCCTGTCCAAACTTTATGCACACAATAGCTTCAAGGAAAGCAATGACCCTGTGGGCAAATGCGAGAGAGACACAGGGAGTGAAAAAGTGGTTACAAACACCAAGGATTTAACTCACATGTTCACAACCCAGATCCCAGACGGTCAGCTCTAAACATGCGCTACTCTCTAGTGAGCACACGCCTCCTCAACACCACTATTAACTGAAATTCTCTGAGAAATTTATTTTCCCTTCTATATTTTTATTCAGCATAAACAGCACACAAAAAGTGATCAAGTGGCAGTTCACAATTCCGCAAGCCTCTGCTTGTTCAGGGAACCAGCAGGAGCGAGTGCCAATAGCAGAGAATTTCTCTTAATACCTACCACTGTGCTTCAGCCCTCACCAGATATAAATTTCTTTTCCATGCTGAACAACCAACAGCCTCCCTGTTGGGTGAATTAGAACTATGGTTTGGGTGTTTCTCTACTGGATGTAAATTTACTACAGTTCTAAATAGGCTACTTTGCTTGCTTCAGATGAATTTTAATGAGAAAATTAACATGAAGCAGCATTTCCAGTTCTCTGAGAATCCACACATTTGTTTTGGTTTATGTGTAAACCCAAGTCCATGCTACAGTATCAGAGGATTTGGGGAGAAATGGAAGAGGAAAAATTGCAATGGTTACTTTTCTCTCTCTGGCATTATAAGAATCAAAACAAGCATCTTCAGCTCTCTCCTCTTTACCAGACGCTTACATCTTTTCAGGCTCAAAGCTACGGAGGCTTGTCCACCACTTGGTGGGGAACAAAGGGTTACAAATCCAAAGCTTCCATCATTTGCCATGGAAATATATTTACTTTGTGTAGGTCCTGGATACAAAATTACACTTTTTTAACATATGGAAATGTGTTTAACAAGCAGAAACATGACTGGTGCAGCAAAAGTGTGAAAAATTGACTTCTCAAGCTGAAGCAAATCATGAAGAAAACTATTAAATTTATAAAAGTTTAATATTCATTCAATAGTGACTTTGAGGTTGCACATGAGCACATGCATGAACACTTCTCCTCAAAGGCGTGCAGGCACACTTAACATCGGGTCAATTGTTCCAGTCTCCCAACCTCAACACTGCAGGACACATCCCCTAGCACCACTCTCCACAAACAGAGAGCTGCCGAAACCAGCTCTGCTGCCTGGCAGACAGGACCCAGCTCCCTCTGTGAATGAGGGAGCAAAGGTGTGTGCATTAGTTAACCACTGGCATTGCAGAGATGGTCCTGGTGACAGTAATAAATTGCCGCTTTCTCTCTACCATCTGATGTGACTTGCAGCATGATGAGTGGGAATGAAACTTAGAATTGTAGAAGTAACATCTAATTGACCAACATTGCAAATTAATGAGGTGCACATGAGTAAAAAACTCAAAACCAACGTTACTCTGTTGGGTCACCAACTACTTTTTTTTTTTTTTTCCCATTAGTTTTATATTATTCTTACTGATTCAGCTGCAGATTTAAAAATAGTTAAACTGAACTACAGCAGTGGGAAAAGAAAGACCACCATCAGGAAACAAACATATGAGGGTATGATATACTCAAAGGTATATACAAAACAATAGGCTATTTTCAACAAGAACTCAAAAAATTATACAGCTGCTTGTGCTGCTTTTATAGGTCCTTTCCATTACTCTTGTCAAGAATACTTGGGTTATGTGCATCGTACAATACGACAGCTATTACAGTTAAAGAAGCAGTAAATCGAAAGATAGAAGAATGTTAACAGTGAAAGGTGTTAGTGTCCTACCAAAGGGTGATGAGAATACTCAACAGAACTATAGACACTGTAAGTTTTCATTCAATCAAAATGGTCTTGTAACATCCTAACAGATATTCCTTTCTGAAAGGCTTCATCTTAACTAAAATGGTGCCATTTCCAGGAGATCTGTTGTGATGGCCTTATTCATGCCTTACAGCACTTACTGTCCATCTGTTGAGAGTGATGCTACAGTACACATTAAGCTGCAGACAATACAGTTTCATATTAATGCAAAGCACTGGGTTTTAATTGTTCCCATGGTTAGGCTGTTGCAAATTCAATCTGTGCCTTTAGGAGTGTTTCCTGATCACCATAGATATGAATATTTCATGTACTTGCCTTTAATTACTTCAGAAATTATATTCTGCTTAGTTAAATTACTGGAATAGTGCTGCTTTTCCAACAAACAGGAACTCCTAGTGTTGCTCTGTTTTTTCTAGCAGATTACAGAAGCAAGCAGTAGCAAGGTGAATACTTACTCCATGCACATTTCCCACAGTTAGATTGGACTGTAGATGAGTATTCTATTGCAGTTCTTATTATGCAATCATAAAGAGATATTTGAGCATCTATTTATTGACATAAATTACACTAACATGTTCAGTGAGAGCTCTGAACCAAGGGTGGTTGCTGCAATCCTTAACAATTTTTCAGAGCCAAGAGGCAAACATTCAGCATCGTATTTCCCTTCAGCTTGCAAAAGAATATGTTTACATTCTTTCTTTCCCCTGGATGAAACACAGAGAAGTTCATCTTTCTTTGAAATGCAGAACTTGAAAATTCTTCCTCCAAAATTATGAAATTGTTTTAATGTGCCTTCTTTAAGACTTCAAAATTACTGTCTATAGTTGAGAAAATGTCCATTTTTTATAAACATCTCAACTCCTAAATCATTTAAATACAGATTTCAGTAACATACCTATATCTATCTGCAAAATATCAACATAGTTGATCTGAAACTACTAAGATGTTTATGCACAAATAGAGCAAGGTTATTTGAATCTAATTATAAATTAAGTAGTCATATTAACTGTGTGATTAATTAGGTATCTTCAACACTAAAGCATCATCCATACCAAACCTAGAAAGACAGGTTACTCTGCTATGATCACTAAAAAAATCCAATGCCTTTTTAAGGACTGCATGTGTTACAGCCGCTCTTTAGGAATCAAAATGCATGTTTCAAGGAGTGGGATCCTCCCTAAGTATGGAGGTTTAGGCTTAAAGAAAACATCAACTCCTACTCAGCACCCATAAAATCAAACAGGAACAGAGTTACTACCTTTTGTATGTCCATTGGATGTTACAGTCATGAATTAAGACAGTAATAGATCTATTCAGGAAGGTGATAAATCAGTGAAAAAGATGAATATTTAAGCCCAGCCAAACCCAGGGAGACATGTGTCATGTTCTCCAGGGTACATTTAAACCAAGTAGAAATCCCTTCAATTACATTGCAGCATGCTCTGCTCTCATCTCAATTAAATGTTGAGAAAGGAGTATTCTTTACGGTGGTGTAGTGCACCTGAAAACACGCCTACCAGGCCAGCACTGTTCCTAAAACTCTAACATCCCTGAGACTAACAGTAAAGGTGAGATAAGTTTGCCAGAGCCCTGTCTCTAAATTAGTTCTGTGTATTTTATGGCTTATTGAAATGTTATTCCAATTTAAAACAGTAATAGATTTTTCTATTAAACATGAAAACGGTTCAGACGATTCTGGAAATAAGACATATGCTAACCTTGACAAAGAGAATGAAATGGCTGGTTTAATTTAAAATCATTGCCATCAGAAATTAGCTTCTTGAATAGTTTCTTAAAATATTTTTTTTTCTTTAAGATGTGGCTTAGGATCTTTTATGTTTTCCCATTTTTAAGTTTCCAAGTCATAAATCAAAGGGGACGCTATGACACTGCTTATTTCAAGAAGCTTTTACAATACTACAATAACACACAATCTGGTTTCCAGAACAGTACGTTTTAGTCAAGCCATCTCAAGAAGGAAGTTCTCACCAGAAACAATCATGCCAACTCTTCATTTAAAGGTTTCCTCCAAGACACACGTTGAAAGAGATTGTAGCCAAGCTAAACAACATTCATAGCATTATTCCTTTCCCTCTTTGAGAATAGAATAGAAATAGTTGATAACTGTGGTTTGTTTCACTGTCTTCTGTTGTGATTCCGTTAACAGCAGCAACACCCACCTTGATGGCCAGGTAAACATTGCTCCGATGACAAGCAAGTGGTAGAGGCAAAAGTTTTATCCTTCTCACCTGACTGAGAATATGGGCAGCAAGGCCAAGCTACTTTGAAGGAGCCTAGCTTTATCCAGCAGTTTTTAGTTCTTCCTTCTGTTCTTCTTACTCATTCCATCACTTCCTACATTCTACCTCCAAATCCAGAATTCTCCTTTCCTCTGAACTTGCAAACCAAAGTAAAATCTCTCCACACTGTTCTTTATACGAAAAACAACACATGACAAGGACTGGCTTCATGCAAAGCCTGCTTCTGTGCTGGACTCATACTTAACACTTGTTCCAGTGCTTCAAGAACACGGCAAGAACACTTACCCGAACACCCAGCACTGAGTTCCCACCCTCTTGCACTGCGTGTCTGTGAGGTAGGCATAGTATTGCCTGAGAAAGGAAACAAGAAAATTATTCAGTCAAGTTGAAAGTCCCCAGAGTATTTACATGTAGAAAACAAGTTTGTTACAAATGTATCTATACTGAAAATGAAGTGCTGATGTTGAAAGTCACACACAATCAACGCTGGATGTCTACCACATGGTTTCAATTCTAGTAGGACAGATTATCACATAGATCAAATAGCTTGAAACAACATAGAAAACAATCCTGAGAGCAAGGACTGGGAAAGTACCCAAACTAGTAGGACAACAAAGTTACATGTTTGTCTCCTGCCTCTCCACTAAATCTGCATTTCTTTTAGGCAAAGCACAACAGCTTTGAAAGAATTAAAGAATCCCCCGCTTTTCCACAGTTTGTCTTCAATTTATCAACAATTGCATTTTCTTGAGAAACGTGGGTTTGAATCTTTCAAGAAACTGAATATGGCTATTCCATATCCCAGGTGAGTGCTCTAACCACTGGCATGTTTTGCTCTTAAAAACAGAGTAGTATTTCTCACTATTTTGAAAACAGTCTGAAGACTTTTCTGCTCTGTTCTTTATGCTCTTTATGCTCCTAAATTTAAAGAGTTTAGAGGGCCAATTCCAAAGAAGTGGGACCAAAGTTCCTTTACTCAGTCTCTATCTGACTTCCACTGACAGATGGGCAAGACAAGTGTTATTAATCCAACAATACAAGGATAGTTTAAGAATTAAGACTTCTACAGGTTGGCAATTGTCATAAAAATACTTAAAAGCTCACCTAATACAGAAGCTTATAGGGTGTTTAAGGTGATTTAATTAACAGTGTGAAATCACTGCACACAACTTGGGACCTTAACCGCTGTGTTTCAGGAATAAATCAATGTGGCCGCCACTTAACTGTTCAAAGTAATTTTACTTTACTTATGAACTGAAAATTTCCTTCCTCTAACTTCACAGCTGTGTACATTCTACCTACCTCCAGCTATGTCACAGGAAAAAAAAATTAAAGGGACTCTGCTTACAAAATGAAATAGTGTGCACGACAAAGGAGGTTAATGTTTCCATACAACTGTTAACACTGCATATATACTGTTCTATTACTAGGAATGCGGTAATGTTCTATCTTCTCTTACAATATGCTAACATTTCCAGCAGACAAACAGAATAAGGAGCTCAGTTAGAAAAATGAACAGCTCTGTTTTGCCTCATCTGCACTTTTGTGAGCATCTGACTCATCAACTTGGATACTTTCACATGCAGTCCTCAAGGATAACATATGCTAACTTACAAAACAGGGAGATGCTATACAAACAGAAGATGGAACAGACTGGTTCTGCATCCCTATGGAAACACAGATGTTTATATACACTTTACCATATTAGCTTTCTTGTCAGAAAATACACTTTATTGAAAAGTGATGATTGTTTTGCTTTTCATGGTGGCAAAAGCATAAATTTCTTGAAATGTGCTGTACTTATTCTCAAAGTATATGCAGCTCTTGGGTGCCTAGAAGTCAAGCTACTTTAAACTGAAGAAAAACAAATTACCTTACAGTGGGTGCTGTAATGATTCCTATGAAGAGAATTCTCCCCCAGCTTAAAGGGTGGCTTGCTTGGAACACAAAGATATGCTTCAAAAAGAATGTGTTCAACTCAGTCAGCTGAAAGAAAAAAAAAAGTTAGTTAATAGTTTTCAACTTATGTAAGTCTTAATGACTTACTACAGAAAATGTTCAAAGATTAATATGGGAACTAAAACACAGAAGGAGAACTATTTATGCCACACTATCGCCCTGCTGGTTAGATCAAGGATTTAAAGAGTCTAAGATTCCCACTATAGGACAAGGAAGGAATATACTAGTAAAACAAATAATTCTCCTCTAGACACCTCTATGAAAGTATTTGCTCTCTTTCCAGAAACCCATTATGGCACCACACACTAATTCACACTGCAGAGGTCTCCTGAGAACTTTCACATCCTAAACCAGGTATGAATGACTGACACAAAATTGTCAGAGGAGTAGAAGAGGTCATATAAAAAAAAAAATATATCAAACACTTGTGGTTCTCCTTTTAAAAAACAAATTCAGCAAATTAAAAAAAAAAGTTTTAATGAAGTCTGCTAGTATTTTCATGCAGTACCACCAAAGCAGCTGGGACATACTATGGAGTCTTGCTGGATCAAGGCCAGAATTCTGAGTATCAGAATATCTATACCACAGTCAATGGGAAAGAAAAATCAAAACAAATAAAAAAAATGCCACACAATGAAACCAAAACAAAGAAATCCCCACATCCCAAAACCCCACTGTCTAGCAGTTTTCAGAACTGTATCAATTGCAAAGAGCAATTTGTGTTTTTTTTCCACAGATTCTGTAATTACACTCCTGAACTATCATGTTACCCTCGTGAACAATGTCCTGACCAATTCTGTATTATCAATTCGTTTAACTGTGTATTTCAATGGCGGACATACATTGCATTAGAATATCTTCTAGCCAAACACAGCCAATAAGTAACTGAGCTGATGGCAGCTTTGATTTCACAGAACTTATTTCTTACCTGCCAAATGATCATGAAAAGGTAGATTCCAGCCACTCTTTGAAATGAAGACTTAGGGTCAAACCAGCGGACATAGGTCCAGCTGGCTGGGGTGAACTGTAATACAGCTCTTTTGATTTTCCCTGTGGTCGTGTGAATGTCCCTAAGAAAAAAAAAAAGAGAATGGCTGGAGTAAATACAAGGAATATGCAAGGGAAAAAAAAAAAAATGCAATAGTCATGTTACTGATGTCAGCACAATCACATTTTTTCACTAGACAGCAGAGATCTTCACAGACACAAATGTGTACCAGGGAAGGGTGAATTAAGAAATACCATCTATTAAGCATTTGAGTCAGGGTGCATTCTGCTATGAAAGCCCACCCTCCTCTATTCTCAGTCAGTAACTAACTACAAAACATATCTATCATCTCTACCATGAAGGAAATAAACAAGGATTACGATTCTGCAACCCCCCTTGGAAAACTTAGAGGATATTTCTTCCTAGTCTATGCCGCCACTGCTCTTATCCCAAAGACTCCTTGTTCTAGAGCTCACTGACATCAATCCTTTAAGAATCTGTCAGATTTGTTATTCATTAATTGCATAAGTGGCTGGCTCCACAAGGTTGAAAATACTGCACTTCCAGCACATGCAACTCCTGCTGTTCTGATATTAGATGTATGCGAAGCTTCTGGGGAGATGTGATAACACTGTTAAAAGTTAGAAGGCTTTTAAATTTCTGTTTGAAAGAAGATGTGAATGGAGGTTCATCTGTCAGATGTGTTACTCGTTCTTGCTTTTTATAACAGTAATTCAGATGAGCAACAGCATCCAAAGGACAGGTAACCTAAGAAAAAGTCAGACTTTCATTTTCTGAAAGAAGACTAGCAGGGCTAGAAGTCAGTTTCCACCCTGTTATTTCCCTGGCCCTTCTGGACAAAAAAGGAGATTCAGATTTGATATTTCTGATTCTTGTGTTCTTTTAGCCTAGTGAGATCTTAGGTTAGGGGGAACCTTCTAATCTTTAAGATCTGTTTATTCAATGAAAAAAAGAAAAAGAAAACAAAACGGCAGAAGCAAAAGCTTCTCATTCTATGCAGGTTCTCTTCATATTAAAGGTGAAAAAAAAAAAATTACTCATGCATTTAAAAGAACGTGAAGAAAAATTATTTCACAAAGACAGTAAAGAATAGTCCTGCCATAGATATTCGCAGTTCTACCTTTCAGTGAACTCTCTAAAAACAGAAGGACCATCAGCTCTTTAATGGTCATTATTCCCCCCGAATTGAAATGCAGGAAAATTGAACTAAGACTAAAGGCTGGATGTTCATCAGAGCAATTAACAAATTTGAGAGTAAGAAAAGAAAGCAGTACAGAAGCTCATGTAGAGTACAAATTTAGAAGTCAAGATTTGAGCTCCTTTTTCATCTCTCAAGCCAACATCCTTTGGCAGTTCATTGTATTTGATCCTGTCTCATCTTTACCATTGGTAACATGCAGATAACCACACTTGCCACCAACTGGCAGGGAAGGAGACAGGAGAGGTGCAAAAGACCAAGGAAGAAACCGTACCTGGACAGCTAGGAACTGACACTTACTAGGAAACAAGCTGTTGCCCCTTTACACAACAAACACTACTTTATTTCGCAATTACTCCATTTATTTTACAGGGTCAGCAATGGGGTAAGGCAATTCACAGCACAGGCACAATCAGCCTGATGACTCTTCTGCAATTCCAAGTAGTGCTGACTAATGCCTCATCAAGGTGAGCCCAAATCTAGTTTTAAAACATTGTATAATGAGAAAATAATCACAATTTGTTTTGCTCACTGCCTTCTTGAAAGTTTTACTTGTACAAAACAAACTGAAAATACAAAAAGCTTTACTATTTTACATTTTCATTTGGCATCAATGCTTGTATCTTAGATTGCAAAGGAAAATTTTATGCAATCATATTTACAAATATATGCTGTACAGTAGCATTACTAGGAGACGGATTTTTAACAGTTAAAATAAATTTACAGCACTGTTAGTGCATGCAGATTGCATGCTATTTCTATACCACATGGATTTTACATATGCAAAGAAGGTCTATTTCCCAAGGAAATGAATTTAATAGTATAACATTAAACATAATGTTTACCAGGCTTTAACTCAGACCTACTTGAAGCTTGCCCAGTGATAGGTCCTCATCTCCAAGAAACGACAAACTACCATGCCCAACCAGATGCCACCCCCGTTACAAAGCAGGATGTCCAAAATGACTTGATCCCACCAGCATTCAGCAAAATTAGGCAGAAGATGCATGAAGAAGAGCTACAGAACAGAGCAAAAAGATTCTGGGTGAGGAACAGCACAAAATTAATATAAATTCACTTTTTAAGTACAAATTTAAAAAAAATCAGCTTTTCAGTACTTGTCATACTTCAAGGACATGAACCACAACGACTGAAATTTGATAGGCATCCTTCTATTAAGTTCAGAAGGCCTTGGATAAAACCACACAAGACAGAGGTTTCCTTCTTACCATTCCCTGTTGGGGCTATGTTGTATATAAGGATATCATGCAACTCTTGGCCTTTCAAAGATGATACTCAGAACATTTATAGAAATGCATGAAACAAGCAAAACTATTGCATTTCTTGGGGGAAAGGTGTTCTGTGCTTTAAAAAAAATAAATTGAAGGTCTACCTGCATCCCAACTTTAATCCGATAGTATGGAGCACAAGCCAAGTGTCCCATTTCAGAGCAGAGAGCCAGCTGAAATCCATTAATGCTAACAGGAGATGCTCAGCTAAATCCCTATGTAACTGCCCTGATAACTTCTGTAGGTTTCTTATGACTTTTCTGAATTAACTAATTCATTAAAAATCCATTTGAGTGCTGATAATCTCTCTATATGTTGAACCTTACCCAACACATTGTCTGTTCCAATAATCTGCCTTTCAGCAACAGGGAATACTAGACACCCCATGCGGTGTCAAATTGAAGATGATGGTCGTGTGATGATCGACTGAACGATAAGAGTGCATGTGAAACAAATACAAATGTATTCTTTTCCAGAGGGAAAAAATGAGTCCAATAACTAGCAAAGTTGTTTTTTGTGGATGAGTACTTGTGAAATCCCAATCTTAAGCAGTTTCAAAATAGCTTAGAAAACAGCATATCCTTTAATGCCACAGAACAAAAATTTGTTTTGAAAAGGAACTCACAGCATCGGTATTTTCAAACCAAGAAGTTTAATTTTAAACAACTAAATTCTTACGAATGTTTCTGAACTATAAATGTCTTGTCAGCTGAGCCAAGAATTCTCAAGACAGCAAGCTCTATGGAAGACTATGATTTTAAAGACTAAATTCAGGTGTTTACATCTACATTTAGCTTTTTTAAGTGTGACAGGTTAGACTACGCTGTCCCGAAAGCTGATAAAAATGAGATTTTTTTTTTTCTATGAAGTGTTCAATCAAAGAATATAATGAAATTAAACTCGTTCTTATAGAAACGCATCCTTGGATTTTAGGTGACACATATTCTATTAATCAAGCTCTAGGTTACAGGCAAATGAAAATACTTAGTTTGAATTCTTAAAATAGATCTAACAGTAAGGACCAGTAGCCCAAGCAACAGTCAAGTGACTGAATCAAGTTGAGTATCTGTATTTTTTTTTGTTAGCCAAAACAGGATTTGAAAGTGTCTACAGTCAAATGACTTAAGCATGTGCTTGGGAGAACTGTGGTAAAACTGAGTAACAAAAATAAGTCAGTGGTCCTCCAAACCATGGTGCAGGGGACTACACTGCATGTGAACTAGCTTAGATTCAGGTCTAGTAACAATCACGTTTTTATATCAGTGAACATGAATAAACGAGGCTTGTGGGGTACAATTTAACAAAAGAAGTGGCTACGCACTCAGGCCTCATGACAGAAAACAACACATCAAATGGTGTCTTGCTATTCATATAGACTTCTCCTCATGGGTCCTCACACCTTCCTCAGGGATCCCTCAACTTCATTTCACTGTACAGTATGCATGAATACACACGATGTGTAATATGGTTGTATTTGGGGTAAGGGGATCATGACAGTAGATCACAGACGTTAAAAAGTGAAAAAGGAATTGCTCTGAATCAGGGAATATTAGCCAACATCTGAAGTAATCATAGAACCATAGAATGGTTAGAGTTGGAAGAGACCTCAAAGATCATCTAGTCCCAACCCCCCTGCCAACCCTTCACTACACCAGGTTGCCCAAAGCCTCATCTAATCTGGCCTTGAATACTTCCAGGGATGGGGCACCTACAACTTCTCTGGGCAACCTGTTCCACTGCCTCACCACCCTCTGAGGGAAAAATTTCTTCCTTATATCTAATCTAAATCTGTCCTCTTTCAATTTAAAGCCATTGCCCCTTGTCCTATCACTACATGCCCTTGTAAAAAGTCCCTCCCCAGCTTTCCTGTAGGCCCCCTTTAAGTACTGGAAGGCTGCAATAAGATCACCCCGGAGCCTTCTCTTCTCCAGGCTGAATATGAGTGTTGACTCCCATAACAGCAGAAAACCAAAACACAGATGGCACCAATAGGCTGGCCTAGACTTCCTTCCTATTCAAGTAGTAGTATGTCACTTACCTAAATCCTATCTTGCTGTTGTCCACTAATGCGACTGCACCAATTGCTCAGCATCTGGTTCATAAGGCTTAAAATGCAAATCTATACTGCAAACTAGCGAGTCATGCTTCTAGTAACATTCACACTCCCCCTCAAGAACCATTCATGTCTCATAGATTGGCTTATAATTAAGACAAATGGCTGACCTACCTCGGTGAGCTCCCAAGTGATGCTAATAGTCCAGCAGAGCCCGTAGCTGCGGATCAGCAAAGCCTTCATAGCCCAGCCCCAGAAATGCCCAAAAGCAAATATATCAAAGTGGCTGAGGATTCTCTCCCAGGTGATAACATGACAGTTCACAGCATACTCCTGTTAATGAAAAATTAAAAACAAACAAACAAAAACCCTCAATGAACAGGCAACTTCAGGTACAGTAGAAGGAAGAAACTTCTCTCTATCCAGTGCAACAAGCCTGAAATTGTAAGGATATTAAAGTATGCATTATTCTGCTTTCTTGTCCTTCTAAACTCAGGAGGAAAAGTTTCATTATTGAGACTCAGTGTCATCACAGTGCACCCCTAATTTAGAAGGAGATAGAATAGACCTTGGTGCCTGAAGGTGCATGTATTTCTTATGCGACAGAGCAACAACAGGAACAATATAGCCAATAATAATAAAAGCAGCAAACAGTACTCCAGGAGACCGTTTTTTGCTTTTCTTTGGGGTCTTGATTTGAAATAACCACCTTTCCCCATTTTCATGCTGTCTGGTGTTCAGATGTGGCTCGTCAGTGGCTAATCCTAACCAGTTTGTGATGTTACATTACTCATCTAAATGTTCATCTGAGTATATTTTGTGTTTTATTTTCCTCATCAAAGCAATTTTCCAGAACATTCATATTGCAAAAGTTTGGTCACCAAGCTAAAGAAAAAAAAAAAAGGAAAAAAAGGAGAACTTGCAATTCTTCTGTCAAGATGAGTGGCAGATTCCTTAAGACTATTAATTAATATTCTAGTCACCAACAATAGAAATGTGTTCATAATGTGGTACAGCAAGTGCTAGAAATCACTACCCACTTAAAAAAAAATCCGTACGCCATCAGGAGGCTGCAGCTGTGGGGTCTGTCTCATCACTAGGCACAAACTGAACTATTCCCTATTGGAAACACACTTTTAAAAAAATCCCTCCTGAAATACACATTGCCACCTGCAGGTGACAACACAGCACTGCTCACTGCTGTTGAACTAAGAAAGGATTTCTCTTTCAGATCAGAGCTATTGCTAATCCTGAATAAATGAATCATGATCAAGTTGAAAAGGCAATGGCAGAGAAAGATTTAAATCTTGGTCTCCATAAAGAGAAGGATGCACCATTTCACACAAATACTTCTACTATCTCTCATGCTCCCCATCAGGAGGTGATTTAAGTCCCACTACGAAAACGTAAGTAACCCATACTGCTGCTGGTGCTTCCTGAAGTGAAAGAAAAGTACTGCTTCTCACACATGCCAGTGCTGCTGGTCCTTCAGAGAAAGATGCACCACCTGTCCTAAGGATGGCAAAGCTGCAACTTTAGTGCACATACCCACAGAGATCTGAAACCGACTCATTTGCTGTATTCCCAGTACAACTGGGAACACCTCGGCAGAATGGTGGACAAACCCACCCACATTAAAGTTTCATTTCACGTTTCTGCTTCTTTTTCCTCATACACACATATATAAAAACAACCAGGTTCAAAGCTCAGGAAGGTCTGAGTTGAAGTCACTTTGGCACCTTGATCTACATGCACACAAAGTCTTATAGCCAAGTGTCTCATTTCCTAGCAAAAAGCATGAGAAGAACTGAATGCACAATGGAAGGTGCAGGCTCCTAGCTACACCATGATATCTGAAATTCTGTGATGAGTGAACACAATGAGGTTACTCCAAAAGTAAAGTTTTTTCAGGGCTCTTGCTTTTTTGGTTTTATTTTTACTGGGGCTTTTTTCCCCCTCTATCTCATCTTTCCAGCTGCAGCTCTGCCAGTAATACAGTGAACTATGTTGAACTTTTTTTTATACTCAAGCAACTTTGCCAGGCCTGTGCAAGATACCAAGCTGCAGTCTTCATTACAGTTGCACTTTAAAAATTTACTCCAACTTTTAAGTGATGGTATGAGGATTGCAAAGTAGTACAGAGAAAGTTTCCACTGACTGCTACAGTCAGGGAATCTGCTGAATTGTGGTTCTGTGCCAGTAGTAATACTAGTCCGCCCTCTGACTTGAATCTATTTATTTCTAACTTAAATGACAGGAGAGCCAGGTGATTCTGCCTTACCAACAGAGTTCTTCTGTCAGCTCCCTTTTGTTGCTCAGCAACATCACTAACCTTCATGCTCATGCTCCATTTGGCAATGTGTCCTCCCACCACCCTAACAGCAGGCTGCCCACGCCTCACCACCACCACATCTCCTGCAGAACAGAAAGTCACAGCCCTACTCGGGATGCTGGAGTTGCACAACATGTACTGCCGATCAGCTAAGGTGCAACACCTGAAGTATCCAGAGTTTTCCAGGTAAGGACCCTGTGTGCAGCCCTCACTGCCAATCAACTACTGTAAGCTTACTGCATAGTAAAGGTTTCCATTCCCTCTGACATGCTACAGGGGCAGGAGTTTGCAGCCACTCCTCATGAGGTGCCGTAGTAGTTTGCATGTGCAGTAAATTGCTATTTGCTAAAGACAATCAGTGCATTTCCTTACTCTTGAGGCAAGATAACAGCACTTACTATACAACAGATGACCATGGTGCACAAATGCATAAACCTAAGGGCAAGAAAGCATGCTGGTCACGTGGTGGGCAGTAATTTGATGCGATAGTGAAGAGGACAAGACTGGCCACTCTTGCCCCTCCATGCAGTAAACCTCTTCTGCTCGGTGCTCAACTACTCACATCCTCTTTTGCCTGCCTCCCAACATACCTCGCATACTTCTCAGGCCTCCTTTTACTACCTCAACTCCCTATGCTAGTGTCCTCACCTGAACCAGACGTTTTCTGTATTGAAAACTCTTTGCAAGCTGCTCAACAGGCAGAACAACAGGCCTGGCTTTCCATGCCACTCCAGATCACAGTCTATGGAAGTAACTTCCCAATGGTAACAGCACCAGTGCTTAGCTGGGTGACCAGAAGGCAGCAAAGCCCTGCAGTTGCTGTAACTGGATTTCCACATACTCAGTAGCATGCCAGTTAGGTACTAATCTCAGAGTAATAAGGCAAGACCAAAGTTCTTTGACTGCAGCATTGTGGCATCAAAAAAACCTGACCTAGCGGAGACACACCATACAGGCCTCATTTAGATACTACCTTGCTAAGTCTATTTTTAGTATCCAGGCTCATATCTATTATTTAAAGGAATCCATAGCCACTCCAGTGCAAACATATCTCAAACTCGCAACTGCACACCCATTTAAATATCTGCATTAGAAAGCTACAAAGAAGACTGTTTCTAACATTGATTTCAATGTAAGGAAACAGCAGTTGATACAAAAGGCTCATTGACTTTCCCAAGTATAGGCACAAACTTGCACTGCTCATGCCAGCAAATTCATGTAAAACATGCCTAAAGTAGCCAAAATGTCCAATAACGTGCCATGGATACATACCATAATATCTGCTTCCCTTGTGGCGTATCGAAGATTAGGATCCAGCCAATACATCACTGCTTTCACCTGCTCAAAGTTAAGGAAGAGCACGAACACCAGGAAGAGAAAATAGAGCACACTGAGACCTGCAAAAAGACTCAGCTTTAGAATCACGTTACTCACAAAACTCCTTGGGACATAGTCCAAAAAGCTGCTTTCAAACTGTAACTATAAAACTATGCATGCCCAGTTTGCACAAATGAGTTTTCTACACACAGTGGCTACATGCAAAAAAGCTTAAGAGACACAAGTCAGATGGTAATCTCTAAGCACTCAGCAATTCATATCACTGCCTGTTTCAAATGATATAATATATGCTTGACTGCATGAACCCAATCAAAATAAAATCAGTCTAGTCAGTTTAGACATGAGTAGCGCAAGGCTGTGATCAGGAAGCTCTTTAGAAAGAGATACATTAGGACCCCAGATTTGGATTAGCTCTGTCCCTTTGCTTTAAGTATTCTTGGTTTCACTACTGCAGGTTCCTAAGTCTACATGCAGATTTCAACACAAAGATCAATTTAATAATCCCACTTGGCAATTCTGAGCTCTGCTGGCAAAAAAGAGTAGTTATAAATATAAACTAATGCATGCATGAGTTATTTTTGTGAATTGGAAAATTTGCTGTTAAAGCTTTTAAAGATAAAGATGATCACAATTTGTTTTCACTCCATTGTAATTTTTTTTAAAAAAGAAAAACTTGTAAGACGTTAAGAGTCCTAGGTGTAGACCTGTGGGCAGATGAAGCTGCTACTGGGAGCATATCTTTACACTATTCACAAGTTCACAGATATCTAACACCACATTTGGAAGAGGCATATAAACACTAAAACCATTTCCATAGTCTAGCACTCAAACTTACTTGTGTCCTGCAGCAACGCCATGGAAGGCAGAAAGATCAATGTGAATAAACTTAGTATCTGCCATCCAAAATAAACTATCACAATCACAAAAAGATATTTTAAACTATAACCAGAACTCACATGTTATTGACCCCCAGTGTACACTAGAGAACAACTTGTGTTCAAATACACACACATAAAGAGAAAGTATATATACTGTCCTCCGCAGTACATCCTAAAACCACATCAGGTAAGCAGATGCCAAACTACTACAAAAGTACAGCCTGCAGGCAAGGGTGCACCCTGAAACGTTGAGGACACACTACTCCTGCCTTTCATCTACTGAACAGGTCTGAGACCTCAAGCGTAGCTAAATAAGCCATGTCAGAAGAAGCAGAATTACACAGGGAAAAATGTTGCTCTTGATTTTGCATGCTCTTTTCCCAGGAGTACAGGGGGTCAAGCTCTGACAGTGTCAACATTGAGAATGACCTTTGCTGAAACCTGAAATGAGCAGTAGGATGCGTGTCTCCTAAACATCACAAGGGGAAGGATTTTTTAAGGACTACTATCTAATCAGCAGTATCCTCTCAATGTCAACAGATGAGTAATCAACTACTTTGGGAGGCTACTTATTTTTAGCTATATAAGATGGCGGGAGAGAAAAAACATTCAGTCCCCTTAAAAAGAAACAGATCAGTTTTTAAATCAAATGTGTCTAATTCTCTGCAAATGTGCTTAAAGTCTAGGGTATGCTGTGAACCTGGAATTATTTAAAAATAAAACTCCTAACGTTTTTGCCATGTAATTCAGACATTTAAAGAGCAGAATTTCACTTATTAAGTTTGGTAGTAAACAGAACTATTTTCCAAACTATGAATGCAACTAATATTTACAGGTATTTTTGCTGAAATTTTAAGTTGAGAATATGAATATATACATGTTAAAAATATTAATAAATGTATGTTAAGCTACAGAAAAGCATCCTACTAAACTGAATTTAGTTAGAAGTCAGACAGTATATGCAGTAGGTAAGAAAGGTGTAGGAGAAGGAGATTAAGAAGCAGCAACACAAAACAGGATTTAAACACTATCAGAATAAATGATCCCTTTCTGGTGATTTAGTTTACACCACCTTGACACAGAGTAACTAACTACAATGACATTCCCAAACATAACTAAGAACAGATTATAAGCTAGTGCTCAGAAGTGGGAGGGAAGTGACATTCACGCAAGTCTGATGCACAATTATGTTTCATGACAATTCCATTCATCTGAAAGTTAAAACAGCCGGTCCTGCAGAAGCACCGAAAAAGTCAGAAACACAACTTGAACTTACCAAAAACCATCCTCCATATTGCAGGATGGGGACGTGTAAAGGGTCCTGTGGACAGTAAACAAGAAGCCTATTAGAAGACACGTCAGTAAGAAGCACATAATCTATATTTTAGTATATCCTATATGAGGATTTGGCATTAGCACGGATCAGTTCTCCATCAAACTATGTAATATACCCAAAAGCGGGGGCTCTATGTTAAAAAAAACACAAACGTTAACAGCAGGTTTCAGAGAGGAAAAGGAGACTGCCAATTAGTAGGGTGCAGATAAAATTTTAAATCATTTTTATGGAGTTGTTTTAGAACAGTAATATGCTGTTTGCTCAGCAGACACCATATCTCAGGTGTCACCTGAAGATCTCTTGACCTGGTTTCTAGACCACAGCTCACACATGGCTTGCTCCTAACGAAGTCATCAAATACAAATTTCTGTGTGTTAGCAAAGAAACACGTTGCTTAGCCTTCAGATGACCATGAAACATCAGCAAACAGGCCTCTTAAAACTTTAAAACTGAATATCATATATCTGACAAGAAGTAAGATACCTATGCTCTTTACCAGTGTCTATATTATTTAACTTAGAGCCAGTGATTAAACGGACTTTATCAGATTAAAAACCTTTCAGTTAATGTGAATTGCAGAGAATGTAAGTCTGGTGAAACTGGAAAATCTCTAAACATGAATCATACATTTAGGTAGCAAGAAGTGCCTGAACAAATTTTCAGCACACGCTGCTGACTGCACCACTGTATGCGCAAAGCTCATTTTTCTCTGGCACTCAGTTTTTCAGGGAGTGCTTTGTGAAAATTATGGATTAATGATTTGTAAAATATTAGAAAAATACGTCCCAACTCTGAACTACAAAGGTGCCCTGAGCACAATCACTATTTTTTCCTGAACACTGCCAACCCTGAGACAGTTTAGACTTGATCCAAAAATTATACTCCTGTTGACAGCCATAAGAATTAAAAATAAATACATAATAAATAAATTTAAAAAAAACAACCACAAAACAGACACACTAGGAAGACAGCATTTTCTCCACAGAATTAAGTGCCACGCAAGTGTTTTTACCTTTTTGCACTTTCTGCTCCTCAAACAATTACCAAAACTTTGGTCCAATTTAAGTTTCTACTGAGCAACTGCAGTTTTACATTGTAATATGATCATTTCTAACTAACACCAGCTTCTGGTAAGGTAATTTATGTAAGGGGTTATATTGCTGAGAATTTGTAGAATGACACTTCTGTTAAGGCACAGAGGCAGACTGCTTTTAAAAATAATGTAAGGATCTGGCAGCATCATTAGCTAGCAATCTGAGCTGCAACTACGCACCTGCAAATAGAGACACTGATTTTGAAAACTTGACTTCCTTGTTAGATACAGACAAGCTATAAATAACTTGCATTTTACCGTTATCTCTGCTCAGTATGACTGCAACCCATTTTTAGACTGTTCCTTAACATAAAGGGAGTCAAGAAAAAAAAAAATGCATTTAAAAGTGGTACTTTAATAAAAACCAAAATAAATATAGTGGCAATAAAGAGAAATTCAAATGTTACAAAAAGTGAAGTTCAAACAGTATAAACCTTACTCACCGTTAGGAAAAGCTAGAACACTGATGATTAGGAAGAAGAAAATCACCGAGAGGATACCCCTCCAAATATTATCCTCTGGGACAGAATCATCCCTGAAGAGACAGACAACATCAAAGTGTTAAAGTACATTATAAGGATGAAGTGAAAAGGCTCTGAAGATATCATATTATTTAAATAAAGACTACATGAAAATAAGAAATAAGCATGCTCATTATATAACAGGTCAAGATAGTAGCTGCACTGAATGGTTTTCACTCTGCACTTCTGGGTGTTCGTTTCTCACAAGACAGTTAAACATATAATCCAGACATGCGAGCCATAAGCATTGTTAGAAGTCAATGCAGAAGCAATGACTAAATTTAATGCAAGGTGAAAAAAAATCTTCCTGCTTTAACATTCACAGAAACATCATCAAAAGTACTTTTACACAGCAGAGATCTAGACCAAAAACTCTGGAAGCCTGGATGCAATTCCTAGGTTTCCTTTTTTTTGTTTTAGTGCTGCTCGAAATCCCCTTCACTTCCCTTGGGCTGTTCCCAATGCAAAATGCCCGAGGTGAGTGCAGAGAGGGGGGAAACAATGATTACAATCAGCCTTTGGAAATGATTACACAATTTAGAATCTGTGTATAACAGAGAGACAGCAAAACTTAAAATAACCAGGGAAAAATATCAACTTCCTTTTAGATCTATTAAGCCAAAGCTCTGAATAAAATACCAGGTATTATTTGTGCTACTGTCATATTATGGCCAGAACAGAGACCTAAGAATTCATTTTGGAATGCCACAGCAAACTTGACTGAGCTCTACTTTCTTTGCAGGCAGGTAGAATACGGCAGAAAGCAGCAAGATTAACAAAAAAAAAGCCCATCCAAGGCCTCTACCCAGCCATCAGCTTCTAGGATACTTCAGTAATACAGAACGAAATAAACTTCAGATCATCATAATATGCACAGCTAGTATTTCATAACATCACCCACTACAACTCAAAACAAAGTTTTACTATCTGGGTAATTTTCATGTACTTAGGATCAGTTTAATCTATTTAAATATATTCCTTTATTTATTCCCAACCCATGACACCAAAAACTTCTCAGCAAACTTTAGAGGGATAAAGCTCTTCCTGGCAGATTATCTGTCACACTTCTGGACGGATCAGTAAAGAATCTGTGACTGCATAAATGTGCTCCACATTAGACATTTGCTGCAGTTATAAAACATTTCTCACTTTGCCAAATTATTTCCCTTACCCTCAAAATTGAACCTTAACAGCTCCACAGCAGACTTTCATCATTGTAGGCATTTAAGCACTACGTTATTTTAACTGTATGGCAGGAAAAGGGACATTAAACATGAATGGTTTCTCTGCAGGCCTTAGAGACTCCCCACAGAGGGTTTGGTTTTTTTTCTAAACCAGCTCAGTACAGATTTACCAATCATTTTCCTGCAGGCATGCTGCATAGGCTGACGCTTTCATGAACCCCAAGTTCCAGAGCTTAACTCTGGCTCCCTTGGCAATCTCAAGAGCCTCTCACCATTCAGCCACTCCCAGCCAGAGCCTCCGGCTCGGATGGCTCAAACAGCAAAGCCATATTCCTGTTTTAACACATGCAAATAATACACACACACATGCTGTCACAGGTGTCACCAAGTGGGAGAACTTCTCTTCTTTTGAAGAGAGAATACATTACTAGAGTGACATCACTGTACAATTCAGCGTGGCCAAGAAAGAAGTGAAAGACACTGTGATCAGATCACTTTAATTGTGATGGGCTGGGCTGCAGATCCTCACCTTTGCACATCAGGATTCCGAGTACTACTCAGATCCAGGAAAGCTGTCCTAGTCATGTTGTCACCGCTTCCCCCAAAAATCAACAAGATGTTGTATGCAGTGTTAAACTGCATTTCATTCCAAGTGAGTGGTAGAGGCGCTTCATTTTGGCTTGGAGATACCTTTCAAAAGGGATAGATTATCCAATCTTCTCGCCAGAGGCAGGTAAAAACAGGTGCGAACAAGAGACTCACTACTCTGCGCTAGTTAGGATGAGAATTACAGTGTTTGCCTGGAAGAACTATTTTGGGGAATGCCAAAAGAAACAGGGAAGCAAAATAACTGTTGGAGGAAAGACACAATCACAACAAGCAGGAAAATGTGCTAAATCATCTCCCCACTTAGCCTTAGAAATTTTGATGCCGACTTTGAAATATAAGCATTCATGCAGCAAAAACAAGGTTTCTAATGCTTGTGTAGGAGGACAGATGAAAATTCTCTCAATTTAAACTCACTTTGCCAGTGCATTTTTTAATTCTGTAGCTTTTCGGAGAAGAAATAATTTAAAACACCAAAGCACATAATAACTGTATAACCTTTTCCTCTCTCCTGCTCTTCTCCCTGCTGCAGAGCACTACATTACCAAGTGTAAACTAGTAAGTTATTACATCATGAATAAAAAAAATGAAGATGCTCAACTGCGGAAAAAATAGCTAGCACACTAAATTTAGAGCATGTTTGGGAAAAAAAAAACCTTCCATAAACTCCCTAAATCAAACCTAAATGCACAATAATCCAGTTTAATCAACTCCATTAATCAAGGGATGTGAAAGACAACAGCCCTACACCCTTATAGGTCTTACTCCTGCTTCCATAAACGCCTGCAACTTCACACCAGAAGCTACCAATCTGTCACCTTCCTCAGTCCTGTTGTTGAGCTCCACAAAATATCCACTCCAGCATCCATGTGTCCTCCTGCTGGCTGCCTCCAGGCTCATCAGAGAAGACCACATCCCTGTCTCCAAGGAGGAAGAGGACACGGAAAGCTAGAGCCACTTCATGCCTCCTCTCCAGGGCACAGCCTGCAAGCACCTGGGTCTGGCTCATTCAGCAGGAAATAGCCAAGGCAGCTGCAGGCATTGTCAGAAGCACTAGATGGATCTGCTTTAGAAAACAGAATACCTTCTACTCCCCACTTTAACATGGAGAAGTTAAACACACTCGCATTTCTTTTTCTATATTACTATTTCTACCTGAAGATTACTGCTATCTGAAGTTCAGCTTCACCTTTACCTGTCAGCTGAAAGCCAGTAGCAACTGCTCTCAGCGATGTCAAGGAAGACTCCATGTTATGGCTTGGTACATCCCAGGGAAAAGCATTTTCTAAGTTTGTCTGAACTCCCACATATTTCTGATATAAAACAATTACAGAAGACACAAGAAAGACTTTAAGGGAAGCAGAATATCCTCTATGTATGCTGAAGTTCCTGAAAAAAATAAATTTTACTTAACAACATCAGTAGGAACGTATCATAGAAAATCCCCTGCTTGACAAAATGACCAGGAGAGCTATGGAACAATTGACAGCACAGGGGAAGCAAAGAATCACTTGTCACACCTTACTGGGAAGTCTACAGCACCTTGTGCCCAGGAGGTGGAAATGTGAACACTGACACTGAAGACTCAATGCAATAAGCTGATGGGAATAGAAGGACCAGGCCTGGGAGCACATACTGTAAGCATGTGGGGGAAATGTCCCCTCCCTCCCAGCTTTCCAAAGAGTACATATGGTTTGGGTAGCATCCCAAATGAGGCAGCACTTTGGTGCTGGAAACTCCTGCAATAGTCAGAAATAGTATAAGGTGGGGTTGAGGGAAGGAAAAAAGAAAAATCAGAGTAGCTTCCACAACCTGAGAAGAGGAAAAACAGAGAAGAGTTAAAGAGAAGTCAACAGGTATTTAAATACAGGAAGTGAGGCAAAGCAGAGACAGACGGGGAAGAAAATGAAACTGAAGAAGTTAGAAAGCTAGCAAGACAAATACAAAGAAAAGCTAGCAATCCTCTTGGAAAACCACAAACAAACATCCCAGAGTGAAGCAATATTCTTTGGGCCCAAGTGACTCCATAGTTCTGAAACTGCTGCTTGGCTCATCCTCTGCTTGAAAGAGTTAATGGCAAAATTCCTTTCCTTCCCCAAAGGTGAGCGATCAATTCCATTAACCCTTCAGAATGATGTCTGGATGAGAATCCCTCAGTTTGACCTAAATTAGCCCTATAGTGAGAAAAGCGATCAGGCAGGGAGAGATGGGACAAGAGGAGCACCTGTAGCAAAGGTCTCTAATTAAACGTCGTACGAAAGCACAGAAACATGTCTCTGATTTGAGAGTGAAGAAGGGACCCCTGGAACATTCTACCTTAGCTTACATCTTGTTACCTGAGTAGAACAAGGTATACGTTCACCAAAAATATCTTCCTTGGGCCATACACAAGTTGAAACAAGAAAAGGCATACCTCAGATCATTTACAACTACACTATTTTATGTTTCTTTATGCTCCTTTCTCAGCTCAACCCAGGCTTGATCATTATTTTCTTGCTGATAAAAACTATACATTTGGATTCTTAGAATAAGATAGAAGATTACACACTGAATTGTCAGGTCTAGGAACAAACAACGATGTTCTGTCAAATGCAGAGTTTAATCACAAGGCCCTTGAAATCTGTGATTGTGTACATACAATGTCATAAAAGTGTAAACGAGCCCAAAACACGATGCACAACTCGGCCAAAACCTCTCAGAATCACTGTTTGCCCACAGACTGCACGATTTAGCCCAGAGGAGGATCATGTTATCATCTTCACAGCTCCATTCAGGAGGCAATAAGAAGTATGAACAACTTAGAAAAATACTGCAAGATATCCTTCAGACTGCACTGCTATACCCTTTGTTTACAAATAAGGCTCCTGAAAATAACTGTGTCCATTCTTAGCTTTCTTTCCATGAATGACTGCAGTGGCGAAGTCCACAGACCTGTTCCTGTGGTGGGGAAAGGATGTGGCTAAGCATATCAGTACCAGGGCCTAAACCAACGTGTGACTGGCTACACACAAAGTATGCTGTATAAAAACAATGACACAAAACAGTCACTCCTGTCCACTGAATGCTTGGTAAACTATCTACTTGAGTGATGTCATTGCTATGCTTCTTGATAGTCTAATAAAAGCCATTTTTAGCAACTGCTTGAAACACACACTCATTTTGGTAAAGGCTTTAACAGAGAGCCACAAAACGATCAACAAGTTCCCAGGAATTACAGCGAAGAAGAATAACCGTTCTCCGAAAGCAGGGCCTCCCGAGCAGGGCGCTCTCCAGCCAGCGAGAGATGCAACACCCCTGCC